TACAACTCTGAAAAACAAGTACAAGCATACATTATAAACCAGGAATGGATCATGATGTCATCGCAGCCATCTTGGAATTGTGACTTATCAAAAATCAAAGTCTGACGTTAGTTGTGCAGTTGTCCAAAGTACTAGAATTTCATGTCGCTGTATTCAAATCGGCGGAGCTGTTGGCTTATTTTTTGAAGAGTGTTGATCTCTCCCAGAACAAGTATAACTACTAGAAGTGATTTGCAAGTGTATGGAAGAAGTTCCTCGTTCAAAAAGACAAACTGATAAATTATAGGAAGACAAACTGATAAATTATAGGATGACAAACTGATAAATTGTAGGAAAATATGAAGAACTCAATACTTTTACAGTATTGGACTTTATCTTGCCACATCTTGCCAAATTCCCATCATAGAAGTAAACAGTTCTGTTCGTTATCATATAGAAATATTTCAAATGCTCAAAATACTTAAAAATTGTCTGTGTGTGAAATACTTAAAATACTTAAAAAAAGAAATCTTCTGCTTGTTGAGTTGTTTGTTTTATAGATTTTGAACCACAAGCATATGATTGTGATGTAAAGGCCATATTTGAACTTTGGCTCTTGTTAATTATTGACAAATTACAGTGATTAACACCTTTAGAAAACAAACCGTGTTTTTCATGAAAACTTTTTAGAAAGAAAAAAAAATACGTGTTTTTTGTGAAAACTTTTTTGGGAGAAAACAAACAAACATGTTTTTTGTGGAAACTTTTTTTTTTCCCACCAGATTGCCAAAGTAATCAAGAGTATAGTAACATCTTCTGAAAGACCATTATGTGTCCATGTACTTTCAAAAGTTGTTTATTTTTGGCCAACTAAGCAAGTTTAATAACGGTTAGAAAAAATGCTCTACACTCATTTATTTAGGATTACAAGTCTTTCCTTTCAATGTTATGCCATCATTAAACATACATTATGCAAGAATAAATCTGCCTATTGCAGGTCTTTCTTTAGGCCTGAAATGTTATCTAAATTATTAATTAGACATTAATTAATTTATCCAGACCATAATCAACTCTCGATGTCATCGCTAGCCTGCTATTTTTTCTAGGTTAGAATCCTATCTGCTGCTCAACGGTCATTGATAATTACATCAAAAAGTGGATAATCGAGACTGTTTTTTATAGTACCGACTTTAGTAATGATGATCGAGGCTAGACCCAAAATTCAATCGCTAAAATCTTAGTTCAGAGTGGATCAATTCCCTTTACATTATCTAGCTTTTAACTATTATAATAAGAACTGCCAGCTCTTTATCTAATCTCCCATAATGTATCTATAATGACTGAGCATTTTATAAGAATTTTAATGATTAATTTTTATGTTCTTGCAAACTAAGGATATATTCTCATCAATAATGTTGATGGGTTAGACCCTCAATTCTTACTTTATAACAAATATTACAAACTTTTAAAGATATGTGATTTTTATAGAAGAGTATGTACAAGTCTTTATGCTGGATGGGGTGGGGGGTATCCAAATGGTTAATGCGCGCATTGGATCATAAGGTATGTCATTGAGTCAACAGGCGTGGTTTTGATTCCCCACTTTTATGTGACGAGGAGTAGGGTCAACTGTCCAACCTTGTGGGTTTTTTCCAGGTCCTCCGGTTTCCCCCAACTGCTGAAGACCCCATGTTAGTCCTGAATTTACCTAGTTTGTATTAAGAGGATGTTAAACCCCATCTCTCTCTCTCTCTCTCTCTCTCTCTCTCTCTCTCTCTCTTGTGCTGGACTTGTCCTCCAATGACCTATTTTTGGTCTATTTTTGACAATATCACACTCAATGTAAGTGAACATAACTATACTACCTGTTTTTCTAATAATATTACATAGACATCAAAAGTTATTCATCTCTGTCTTGACATTCAAAAGCAGGATGAAAAAACGAGATCCCATGTATACGTTAGTGTGCACGTAAAATATCCCGTGGCAGTTGAAAATCGATATAAGAGTAAGCCATAGTGCCATTACCTGGGCAAAATTTCCCTCATAATACACTGTATGGCGTATGCCTGTCTTCATTAGCTCGGTCGGAGCAGAATATTAGGACATTGAACCCCATTTCGTTTCATTAATCTGTAATCTGATGAATTCAGAAAATTTGCTCATCTTTAGGTCTAGAAATAATTATTTAGTTGTATTTGTACCTGACAAAATCTCAAGACATCAAACTGTTACCTGATATTTTTGATCTTTGTGCAGGACATGAATAAAAGACAAATCTGTGCTAAAATGAAATGTCAGACACCTGAGAGATTCTTCCTTGACAAAGCCTTAATTTGTGTAAGGTGCCTTATTTCCTGGTTGGCTTATCTTAAAACTTTATGGGAAAATTGTATTTAATTGAGAATTAAATGGTAAAAATTGACATTAAGCTCTATTAACCTAGAAGAACTAAATTCATGTATCTATTTTGAACTAAATAAAACCATGTCTGGATATATTAAAAAGAAATTACACATTGGATCAATCAAGTTTCAAAGCTTTATTTTTACCTTTATCAAAGATGTTCGGTTTCTTTAATTTTTGCCCCACATTTTTAAACCCTTGCAGGTTATGACACAGATACATAAAACAACATGTCAGAACCCAGACTCTGCAATTAGTTTCTTGTTATTTATTGACACAAAAATTATATGCAAAGAGAAGAAGTGTCAGAGATTTCTTTAATATGATTCATGATTTTTTTTTCAACAAGTTCCAGATGAACATTTAACTGAATAAATTTTAGAATTTCTTATCAATCATTACAGTTGCATTATAATTCAAAAAGGTCAATTCACCTTGATTTTGAAAATTTTTCATTTCAAACACAGAATTTTGTTGAAATAATGTGGTATTTTTTGTCTGTCTGTGTCAACCATTTAATACTCAACCAGAATATGGCAGGAGACTTATAGAGGTCCAAGCTATTATTACAGTTAGCTAAACGTAGTGATGGGTGTCATGCATGGGGCAGGGTGTGGTTACTCTTTCTAGAACACTTGATACATATATTATTTGAGAAGTTCACATGGCCAATCCCTGGTCTGCAGTCTAAACGATTATACATATTGGAATGAGTCACCCTGGCTCAGTGAATAAGCCTCTGCTTCACACCAAGAGGTTCCATTTTAAGGCAATGAACAGTGTTGAGTTGTTTTGATAGGAGGAAAAACTGAGGTTCCGTGTATACATTGGTTTTCACACGCAGGGAGGACATTAAACCTCATTTAATTTCATAAGTTTCATATTTGCTTCCACGGATGGACATTCTTCAGAATATAAAGATTATGAGAAAAGTCTGTGCCAATATGTTAAATTCACGATTGTAAATGTTAAAATTTGTATTAAAATATAGTTTGTATTAAAACATGAGTCATTCAGTGCTCATTGCTTCACATGTTTGGCGGGGGTGATTGGTCTTAGGTGTGTGCTTTAGATCATGAGTCAATTGGCGTGGTTTCGATTCCCAGCTTATACATGACAAGAAGTATGGTCGTCTGTTCAACCTCGAGGGGTTTCTCCAGAATCGCTGGTTTCCTCCCACTGTCATTTAATGAGCCCTATGCGCAAGTGAATGTATGAAATAAAATTGAACCATGTGTTCATCCCAAAATGACTTAGTTTCCAGTCTCTCTCTCTCTCTCTCTCTCTCTCTCTCTCTCTCTCTCTCTCATATTTATAAAAGCATGCCTTTATAGTAAGTATGAAACTGGTTGTAAAATAGACTATAATCATAATATAACCCCACGTGCCCATGTTTCTAGACATAATCTATTTTCTGTGGTCATTTCAGAAATAATGATCGGCCACCATAGCCTGAGAACTCTCATTGATTCAATATTTTGTTACGTTGAGAAGACAAACTATACATTGTAGTCATTTTATAAATGGTGTACACCCAAATTTACAGGACAGTAAAGTGGACACTCATTCTAAGCGTCCAGTTATTTATATTTGCACAACCAAGTAAACCATGGGGCTAATTTCATTATAGCACTGTTTAGTCATACCAAATATATACAACTTTAAATAGCTAGACCTCTTAGATTTTGGTAAATTATAATATTGTCAATTTGATTTGATTATATATGTTAATTTGGTTGATGGGAAGTCAATCCTGTTAAAAACTGTATGTCAATAGAAAAAAAAAGCCAGTTGTGAGATTTAACTAAAATTATGTTTCACTGCTGACATAAGCCAAAAATGAAACTACATATAAATTCAGTCAACTAGTCGATTTCTGCTCAATCTTTAGAGCTTGTTTTATCGTTAATCAGAATAACAGATTAAATCATCCTAATTCAATACTTTATTTTATACTACAAAGAAGGTTAGTTTCTTTAATAAAATAAAACCAAGTACGAACAATCCAAACCAATAGACAAAAATTTAAGTACTAAAAAAAACGGTATAGGCAAAATAGTGTAATCAGCAAATGGACAATTCACCGTGTACAAAATGCACGACAAACAGTGGTAACAGGTATCCAGAGAAGAGTAAGCGGGCTATACTATATACCGGAAAACAAACGGAAAATGCCGGAAAAACACTAAATACTGGAAAAAAAACACTAAATACCGGAAAAAACACTAAATACTGGAAAACACCCTAAATAGGTAACCCAGAGAAGGGCTATACTATAAACCGGAAACTAACCCTAACCTTAACCCAGGCACACAGAGGACCAGGCTCCGGGTTACCTATTTGGGTGTCAGTCACTCGGTTACCTATTTAGGGTAATTTCCGGTATTTAGTGTGTTTTCCGGTTTTTAGTGTTTTTCCAGTGTTTTCCAATATTCAGTATAAAATGGTGTTTTCCAGTAGTTTTCCGGTGTTTATAGAGCTCACTCCATCACTAATGGAAATATAACACATATCATATCAACCTCAAGTACGGTAGTTTATTTTAACCTAAATCAAGGTTGTTTTACCTCCTTTAACACTCAATTCACAGAATCATTGTCTTTTTCTTTTTCCAGAAAAAGATGTTGATGTTTTCAATGGCAAACAGTCCAAGACAAACAGCAGCAATAAATCGTCCAATAAAAGTTCCAAATCATCAGGGGTAAGTTGTCATTTATTATTTATGTAACCAATACATGTTTTATTAATAATCTGTGTTCTTATTGCAAATGCTGAAAAAGCTTCTCTATAGAGGTTTGGGGTTGGTTTGTTTTAATCTGTTATGATTGCCTTTAATGAGAACAATAACTTCCACATGGTTCCTGGTATTTAACCTTGTTGCTCATTTGCTGCTTTTATTGAACAATTAATCTGAAATTTGCTATCCAAAAAATTACACAGAGTTGTAAGATAATTAAACTTGCTGTTAGCTAATGACAAAAGATAGAGAATAATGATAATTGTATCGTAATACCGGTATGCAAACTTGATGCTTAAAGGCCCAACATGGTGGAATAAAAGTTAAATTGATGCTGCCATAAATAAAGTAATAGTTTTGTTTATCTCTTTTGCACACTCTGGCCTATTCTTCCGGATTTATTTTTGATGCTCATCCTACGTGCTCAATAACAACCGTCTTTATGTTAAAATAGTACCCCCATTTTTGACTTCTGAGATATGTGATTGATCCAGTTTGTTGGGCCTTTAAAAATAAATTTAACGTTAATTTTTTGGGGCTGAGGTCTGAGTTAAATATAATTTATAATTAAATTGTGTTGTGTATTATTTGACATACAGTGTGTCTGTATGTGGTAATGTTATGTCTTGTATAATTATATCTCTTTGCATATATATTATATTTATATTAGTCATCAAACTAACTTCATAATACATTATATACAAAATATATATCAATTATATGCTAATATTCAATTTGGGGGCGGAGAGGGGGCACCTTTTTCTGCTTTAATAGCCTCACTATCTTGCTCAAAATTACTTTCAAATGTGGAATTGAATTGAAATATCCAGTTTAAGAATTAAAGTCAATAGAGTTGGTCTCATTTGGTTATCGGGTCTGATGAATCTCGGATCAATTCAACCCGATTAATTCAGAATTTGGACGTTTCAGACCAAATAAACATAGTTTTTGTTCCACTAGTAAAAGTATTATACTGTATAAAACGATTAATATTCTTAAAAGCATTTTTAAAAGATGACTATAACTTTTAATCAATTAAATCTAATACTTGAAGATAAGCAAAAAAGATTTTGTTGTTGGATGTGTTGTTGACGAATGAAAGATGAATAAGATTAGCTACCAAACATTGTCTTTGATAAATGATAATATAGATTATTCAGAATAATCTAAATCGTCATTAGTCTTATATTTTACATTATTTAAATCTGGACTTCCTGAGATTTTGTCAGGCTGATGTAGTTGGGCAATAAGGGTGTTGATTCCAGGCATTGGCAGAGAAAAACCCAGTTGTGTGGGAGGGACGAAATACCATGCTTCATTCATGTACACATTATCATGCATGTAAAAATTCTTTGAAAGTTGGTAATTGAAAAAGAGGAGGCAAAAATGCAAAGTTAAACTTGGTTAAATTGTACATGTTACCATGGTAATAAAAATAAAGAATTACGATTTTTCTGTCTTATAATGACCAAGTGTTGTGTTGACAAGATATTAAGCTCCTTTCCACTTCTAATAAACATGCCCTCTAAATCTCATAAACCTAATACAATTAGAAAATGAAACATAAAACCTGTGATTATTCCTTGCATATTGCATGGTTCTTAAAGATGTGCCAGAGTATCATATTGAACAGTACGTAGCATGGGGAGAAGCATGTCTGAGAATTGTTATGTAATGTAGGAATATATTTAATGATTGAAAGATAAGCTATTTTGATTATTTTGGGATATTCTTGTGACCCTAAGAAAAATACCAGTAGATCTATCAATTATACAAATTCATCACTAATTGCATAGGAGTCAGACATAATATCTAATTTCTTATTAGATAAGGCATGTGCATTTTGACTTAACTGTTAGCATTAATCATTTAAAATGCACCCCTTTCCGATGAGATACAACATTTTGGAATATTGAAATGTTCAAGAAACTTAACATATGACATTTTAGTAGTGCAGTGACAAAATGCTTTAATTTGCTGGATTATTATTTTTGGAACAAGTTTTGTATGTATGCATACTAAATGCTTGAATTAACTCGTAATGAAGCATAAATAATAGTTTTTGAATCATTATTTTTTTAGATTTTATGCATTAACAAAGTTATTATTTATTATCCATGCTTTATCAATTTTATAAATGCAGCTTACAATAATGTGAGACTGGATAATATTGTCAAACCAACAACTCAAGACTTGCATTATCTTGTAGATGCTTATTCAATTTTTTTTCAGTTATTTAATTAATATCCAGTGTGCTGTAGTCTAAGGGCCTTTATTCACAAATGTTTGAAAAACTAGAAAGACTTCTTTGATATTTGGAAAAAAATAAAAGTTTGATGTGTTGATTTGTCTACATATAAGATTTTATCCACACAAATAGAGCCAATATTAGATATAGGGTAACTGATTTTGTCTTCTACTGTCAACAATTTCAGAGCCATAAATGAAGTTAGAATTAGTAAACAAACTAATTCCCACTTTATATTTCAAATTATTTCAGAGCCATAAATGAAGTTAGAATTAGTAAACAAACTGACTCACACTTTATATTTCAAATGGAAATCAGATCGAAATAACAGATCGGATCAACCCAATTAAACACTATTTTGATCTGAATCAAAGAGATTTAACTCCTTAAAGGATACTGCATTTTCATTTACTAGAAACAGAGCTATGAATTAAACTATCGGCAAATGAAAAAGGGGTACCTTTAAAATATTTTACTTTTAGCTTTCATGTAAAAATCCTGTTATGTATAATTATTAACTTTATAATTAGCTTTTAGAACTAATTAATTTAATTAAATAAACTATAACAATGTTTATGCCACTATAGAGAAATGGGCGACGAGAATCGGCGTTTACACCACCCACCACGCATTTGGAACCACCGCCGCAACGACAACGTCGAGGCTCCTTACAGTTACCATTTTCCTTCTTCCCTAAAAATGATGGTGGCAGTACCAAATATGGTGAAGGGGTTAAATTCCCTGATGATACCTTTGTAAGTTATGGTGGGATTTACCAGTAGATTTCCTCTGAAAGCATGATTTCATAAAATTTAATTTTTCCTTTTTTTTTTCCAATTCATTTTTGTTTTATCCCTTTTCCATCATATTTACTAATCACTGATTTTTCATTTTCCTTTATTTTACGATTTTTCAGTCTTGTGTGACCTTTGACTATCCATTTCTGCAAAATACCTTGCAATAACTTACCTCTTTCTTGGAAGAAATTATCAAACTGATTTGAGTATCCGTGTGAGACCCTTGACTATCAATTTCCTCAAAACACCTTACAATAGAATACCTCTTTCTATGAAGACATTTTGAGACTACTTTTATTTAATAATTTTATGCTTTCTACAGAATCCTTTTTCTTTATTGTGTGTGCTGTTGTTCTCAACTGACTAATCAATGGAGTTTCTTTATATTGACTGGGATTTCAGGGACTTTTAAATGTTTTGTGAATATTTATTTCATTAATTTTTTTCTTAACTTGCATCCCTTTTGACTGAATAGCTAGGCAAGGATTGAGTATGAAAACAAAATTAAGAAAACATATTTTACTTATTCAACATTATAACAAGCAAGCGCTGTCTTTGAATAACTGTCCTGTAGTGAAACAGAAAATTGCACTGAATAGAACATACTTTATTTAATAAGTTGTCCCTGGTGACATTCTTAGATAACTGCCCTGTAGAAAATTACTGCATATGCATTCATAACTTTATTTGAGTTTCGTTTAGTTGTAGCTAAAGTACACCTTTGGTGTGAATATATAAAAGCATGGTTAGAAACATTATTGCACCTCACACAATAATCTATTCAAGTAATTCACCACAGCCCCCAATTATCATTCCTTGCAATTTATGCATTCATGTTGCAAATTGAAATCACTGTTCACCCGTAAAAAAAACATCCACTTCTTACTAGCTGAATCAAGCTCGCATCACAGCATATAAAGGAGAATAGATCCTCAGTATTTCAACATGAGAAATTTCTCACGCTCCAATGTACCCTCCTCACGCTGCCATATATTTATAACTAATAGAAAAAACCTGCTCAATGAATATGTACGCAGAGTAGTTGAAAGTCATTGCCGATTTAACAATCATGTATTAGTGTGAATCAAAAAAAAACAATTTGTAAACGGCTATTTACAGTTTTAACCAAACCCTTCTTTTTTCTTTGGTAATTTTTTGAAACTTTAATTTCTATTATGTGTTTTTCTGATTTCTTTTGTAATATTTATTGGAATAAAGGTATATGAAATCAATGTGATTGTACTTTTTTTTCTTTTTTTTTTTGTTTGTTTTGTATCTATTAATCATTTTTTTTTATAGATCTACAATTGTAACATTTCCTTCTTTATTATTTACATTATGTATGTGCTTTATTCAATATTATTTATTCTCAACTAATTGATTTTCTTTATTTGTAAGTAAATAATTATAATGATCCTTGATCCTTCCTTTTTAGACCCTCTATTCTAAAACTGTATTTTTTTTATACAGTATATAATATATATATATAGATATAACTTATTTTTATTTTTTATTGTCACACCTTTTTTTTATTTGGTTTTCATATAGAACCAAAGTAACCATTCCAATGTTCATTCTGTGAATATTTTAATATTCTGTGTCATAGTTTGTTTTATAAGGCTAAAATTAATCTTTTAGTTTTAGTTTTTTTAGCCATTATATCCTCCTGGTATTATCTCCATAAATATTTAAACCCAAGACCTGTAAGCTTAGCATTATATAAATAATATCACCCTTGTCTGCTTACACCATCTTATATTAATGGAATGTGTACAAATATATAAGTGTTTTATGTGCTTTTAAAACAATTTATGTTTTATATCATTGTGTTAACATATAGTCTTGATTGATTTGTTACCCCCGGTATATGGCTGCAGGAAATAAAGCAGGTCTTTTGTTTTATTTGTTGAATGAGAGTAACCTAATTTATGAATTAGTTTAACACCATTCCCTGCTGAGTTTTAGATTTTGGAAAGGAAACAAAATAATGACTATGATGTATTTGTCCAATGTAGCCAGGCAGTAGCCGTGGTTGAGGCTGTGATAATGCAAGGGAAATAACTCTATTTAAGTAGTGCTAAGAAAATTGTCTTTACCAAGAAGCTTTAGATTATAGTTCATTTTCTAAATAGTTTATTAAGTACAGTAGTAACAAAAGGTAGTCACTTACTGAAAAAAATTATAATTAAAATGAGTTTTGATAAAAACCCATACATTGAATAGTTTCTTCATTGATAATTCTCAAGAAACTTGGCTAATTTTCTAACACATGAGTATTTATAATTTTAGGGTAGTTTGCGAGGGAATAAGCGAAGTAATTTATCAATAGACGACACATTTGCCTTTCTACCTACAACCAGTCCAGGAGGAACATTATCGTACAGCGAAGGGAAGAAAATCAAAGCTCAAAATAAACTCTCCAACCTCTTTAACCCTCCAAATAAGGTAAGGCATTAGTTATTTATCATATTTCTTTTTCATCCTTATGCATTCTTTTTCCTCTAAAATATTACAGCATAAAAAAGGGCTTAAAATTAAAAACATTACATTAAACTTCAGCCAACAGGGGAAATAACTCTTACATGCCACATACATAGTTTCTAGGATAGCCTAGTGTCTGGTTGCATATTACACACTGTTTAATACATCATGTTCTTGTTTTCATTAAACTTTACAACCTAACACAAAAATACAACTGCAACTCTTTAATATCCACCCCCTCCCCCATGAATTATCCTATATACAGATTTTATGCTAAAATAAAACACGCAACACACAGCAGTAACTTAACACATCCTTATTCTGTACACTCAAGAAATACCTGGAAAACAATGGATGTATTAATGGTCATAAAAGACTAACAGTACCATATTGGAATATATCAGTAAATATTGATAATTCAATATTCAAATTAATTACATACTATTAAGTGAAGGAGAACGAACGACATATAACATGAAGATAGAAATCAAGGAGACGAACCTACAGACTAGACCCCAAAAATATGATCATTGAAATTACTGCCAAAATAACAGGAAAACACACACCATGCCTTGGTGCAAGCGGACATTAAAACCCCTGGTAAGCAACAAGAAAACAGAATTGTCCTAAAAATATACATTACTTCAGTATACAGATATTATTACATCATATAGTCTGATATCATAATCAAATTATTCATTTTTAGTAATACCTAAAAGTATACTACTTCATTAGTCTTCAGTATACAGATATTATTACATCATATTGAAAATATCATTATATCAAATAGTCTGATAACATAATCAAATTATTCATTTTAAAAAATATGAGTAATACCAATATGTGTAGATTTATTATGAAAATTATCAAATAATGAAACTATGTGGATTTAGCATTAACTCATCAATGTATTAATGAAAACAGACAAAAGCAACTTTCAGGCCTAAGGATAGTATGCTTTGCTAGTTTCCAAGAAAATTCACAATTAAATAACCTTTGAAACAATGATACTTCTGTCTGAGGATTGCAGCACACACTACAATTAACAAACAACTAGATGATGAAACACAGACATTGTAAGTTAATAAGGTTAATTTGTAAGCATCCATCAAAATTTAATAAATTAAATGAATTTAATGATATTCATAGAATATAATTAATAATTATATGTACATTATAAATCTATGTGGGACATTAGCTAATGGTGTATATTAGTCTTGTATAACCTGGGCTTCTCAGAATAATTTGTAAGCATCCATCAGCATTTAATAAACCAAATGAATTTAATGATATTCATAGAATATAATTAATAATTATGTAGTTTATAAATCTATGTAGGACATTAGCTAATGGTGTATATTAGTCTTGTATAACCTGGGCTTCTCAGAATAATTTGTAAGCATCCATCAGCATTTAATAAACCAAATGAATTTAATGATATTCATAGAATATAATTAATAATTATGTAGTTTATAAATCTATGTAGGACATTAGCTAATGGTGTATATTAGTCTTGTATAACCTGGGCTTCTCAGAATAATTTTTAAGCAACCATCAGCATTTAATAAACCAAATGAATTTAATGATATTCATAGAATATAATTAATAATTATGTAGTTTATAAATCTATGTAGGACATTAGCTAATGGTTTATGTCTTGTATAACCTGGACTTCTCAGGATAATTCTCATGTCAACATAAACACAAATGTCCATAAAAGGAGTGACACATCATAATTTTGAAACAAACTATAACGTTAAAGTTAAAACCGGATGACATATGACTATTTTATTATTTTAGTGTAAGGACCCGTTGTAATTCATGAATAATTCATAAGATGTCGTTTGACTCAGCTTATTTTTTACAAATTGCTTACTGTCTATCTATAAGTGAAATATAAAACTTGAAATATTATATCGTATGTTTTCTCAAGTTGAACTTCGCCACCAGACAACATGATTCATACTAGTTTTTTTAAATAAAGATGTTTAGAATGGTTGAATGAATATATTATTCAGTAGATTCTAAATGACAATAATCGTTATCTAAAGAAATCTGAATTATTATGCGTGGGTCATTGTGATCTGATGTGTTTACAGTTATTATGGGGGTTGCGCTATAAATAGGAAAGGGCTGGTTGTAGAACTGGTGTTGATTATAAAGTACAAGTTATTTATACTTTAAGGGTCCTATATCTTATCTCCCTTCTTCAGCTTCATTAGCCCAGTTGGTGCAGAAAAGAAGGATGTTAAATCCAATTTCATTTCATTTCTAAACATTGTATGTTATAAATTTTCACTTTTGATAATGGTTTCATGATATATCGAAAATAATAAAAGGGCACCGCCTCTTTGATCTGGGTCAAAAATAAAATTGTCCATTTCATTGGGTTTTGTATGTTGATGTGATAGTTTGAAGTTTTACATCCATAGATAATGCCAGTGTTGAGATATAATGTCATCACAGTGAGCCAAAAATTAATTGTAGGTATACCACCTATTGGAATTGGAGGGTTGTCAAATATTTTTTGCGATATATTGATGAATATTGACCAAAAACAATAACATTTGGAAAGTTTTGCCCATTTATGTCTACCCTACATCAAATTCCAGCAGCCATGAATTATTTTATTTGTCCCATCCAAACAACTAGACGATATTCCTTGCCAGGTTCTCAGTCCAGTGCCACTGACAAGGGGAAAAATCCAGTGGTACTTTTTCGGCCAATAACGAAATGATATGCTGGCTCCCATTTATGTAGATAATTTAGATTTGAAATAATACATGTAATAAATGTACAAGATGTTACCACTATACATAGTTTGATATGACAACATATGTTTTTATATTATATCACATATATAGGCATTATTTCTTTTATATCAATATGTAATTTATGAAGGTTTCTCACCTTCCAAGAGGTGCAGGATTTTATTGAGGTTTTTTTTTGTGGAGAAAGTTTCTACAGATTTCTCAATCTGGTTTCCCTTTGTCTGTGGTGCAGGACAGAGGGCTTGGCAGGGAATATTCTCTAGTTGTTTAGATTGTATGGAAAACATCAACGTTCTGTGTATGCCATTGGCAGCACGTAAATGATCCCATGACAGCTAGAAATCAAAATATATGCCATAGGGCCATTGTCCGAGCAAAAATTCCTTCATAACACACTTTGCCCATCTTCCTGAACCCGGTGACTGCAGAAACGACAGATGATAAATCCCATTAAAAATTCCTGGACTATTACAAAATACTCTACTTTTTATGCATACAATAATTTGTGGAAAAAGTAGCAAGTTTTATACTAAGACTTTAGTATCAATATGGGAAAATTTTATCTTCCTTAATAAAAATAATCTTGCACGCATTCGACACCTTATAGATAAAGATGGAAATACAAAATATAATTACGGTCTTGTATTCTAGATGTGTGTCAAGAAAATCATGTATTAAAGGATATGTTGTATTTATCAAAAATAACATAGCCTTCTTAAATCAATTAATCTTTAGAATTTAAAGATAAGTTCACAAGTAAGAAATGTCTATAAGGCTGACATGAGTCAAAGATTAAGAGAACGTGTTAAAGACATTATTATAATCTGGAGAATCATAGATATTTAATCTGTTTTACTGTAATTATCTGCCTTAGGTTAATCTCTACAAAGGTTGTTTTAGCAATATGATCCTTTTGTTTTACTTTGTGAAAGATTAAGTATTAATTGATTCTCTTTAAAATTTTGGATTAACTTCTCTTCAAGTCTTGATGTCTAATTATCAGAGTGTGTGTGTCACTAACATGTGGATTAAAATTTGCGAAATCAACTTTGGTGGAAGAGGATGTTAATCCTTTATGTTGTAGTAGATTAAAGTTCTTCAAAAAACTTGATCAGGACAGTTTGAGTGATTCTCGAAGTTAGAGCATGTTTCAAGCTGTAGTGGTTATGAATAAGGACATATAAAGTACATACTGATATTAATTCTGGATTTATGTATTTCGGATATTCATGTGGTAGATTGAGTTAAAGTTGGATTAAGAAATGACTTTTAAAACAAGTTGGTTCCTTTATTATATATTAGTAAGTAATATCAATTATTTCTACCTAATTTAAATTTTATAAAGTGAAAATTGTTCAGATTTTCTTGCAGTTATCACAGCTTGTTTTAGGAATATTATTTTAAATTTTAAAGATGTTCTATAGGTATTCGGATTGTAATAATATGACCAAAAATGGCAGAGGAACACTTCTAACTTTAATCCACAATATGGTAACATGTGACCTATCAGACGGTGCAGGAGGACTGCACAACAAAATACAAACAAAACAAATCCTACCAGATACAAAATACAATATTTAAACTGAAAACTCCAAATGTATTCAATGAAAACATCTGTGGTCTGAGGCAGGGCAGGTTTGGTAAAAAATTGTACAGGAATTTTGAGCTTATTGCCTATGTTGTACATGGCAGTAAAATATAAAACACTAAATCTGATAATATGATAATATTTTATCAGATGCTCATAAGATATAACAGATGTAGTTAGAGGTAAAGATGATATAATTCAATCAGGAATTTATAACTTATATTGATAATCTTTGCTTCATAGATAATAAATCAACATGGTTTTTTTCTTACTGCTTATTAATTTGAAAAGTAACCATGCATTATAATAATATGTAAACAGCAGGTGGAACAGCAGGTATTCCCATGTTTTTATTTCAGCTTTATTACGTTATTTACCTGTACTGATTCTGATAAAAAAATAAATTGGCAAATAAATGCAGACCAGACATACCAGTTAATGAAATCATTAAGTGCATACATTGACTTTTTGAAGGTAAAAGTAATATGTAGGCGTATTTTACCCTATGGTGATCTTTTTTTGGGATATGAAATATACAGTTATTCATGCCAACTGTGTTTACAGAGAGCTTTAAACTGCTTATAATGTCAATTATGAGAGATTTT